CAACTTGCCATGAATGCGGGGCAAGCCTACGACATCAAGCTCAGCATGAAGTCGCGGGACGCGCTAGTGAGAGGCGAGCCCACACCCTACGCCGCATCCCTTTGCTTCGAGGAGTACCGCTCCGACGAGGCTGGCATCGCCGAGGCAGTCGAGCTCGCGAAGACATCAGACGTTAGCATTGTCTACGCTGGCCGCAATGAGCAGTACGAGTCTGAGGGCTACGACCTAGAGGACATTCGCATGCCAGAGAACCAAGCCGCTCTAATCAAGGCCGTTGCCGCCGCGTCCAAGAAGACCGTCCTCGTTCTTCACTGCGGCAACCCCATCGACGTCAGCGCCGTAGTCGACGACGTCGACGCCATCCTGCTGGCACATTTCCCCGGACAGGAGGGCGCGCAGGCGACAGCGGACATCTTGACAGGCAAGACGAACCCCAGCGGACGCCTCGCGACCACGTGGTTCAAGACGTTGGAGGACGTGCCCAGCTTCGGCGACTTCCCGGCTACCAAGACCGAGGACGGCAGCATCGCGCTGAAGTACGCGGAGGGCCTGGGTGTGGGTTACCGGCACGCTAACGCGGCAACACGGGCGCGGTGGGCTTTCGGCTACGGCTTGTCGTACACGTCGTTCGCGTACTCGGACCTGGACGCGACCGTCTCGGAGGAGTCGGGTGTAGCCAAGCTGAAGGCGACTGTTAAGGTCACCAACACTGGCTCCCGCGCAGGCAAGGAGGTGGTCCAGCTGTTCGTCAGTCCCGCAAAGGAGACCTCCGTCTGGAGACCCGAGCGCGAGTTGAAGGCTTTCACGAAGGTGGATCTGCAACCGGGGGAGTCTACGGTGACGACGTTGGAGGTTGATCTGAAAATCGCCTGCAGCTACTGGGACGAGGCGCAGAAGGCTTGGAGGTTGGAAAAGGGGGTCTATGGCGTTCTTGTTGGAGATCGCCGAGCCGAGATCTCGGTTGCGGCGGAATCGGTCTGGAACGGGTTGTAAAAGGGACAATGGATAGAAAATTCGCCTCCTATTCTAGACTTCGTTCGGGTTTGTGTGGCATACTTGGCGACTGGAATCATTGTGCTTTCCAATTATCATCTATCAAGTTAGTCGAAATTACATGAGTTGACGACACTTCACTGCTAGTCTTCCTCACTCTGGTCGCCGTTCTGAGGCGGGAGTTTCTCCATTGCCGTATTAGTAACTCGCTAGAACCGATCCGAGACATTGAACGCTAAGTGGCTCAAGCCACCAGATTTCCGTGTCTAGACCTTCATATCCAAGACATTAACCCGGGGATGGAGAGGCTAATTCAACAATCTCCCTGGTGTCAGGATCAAAGTGCCGTCAATGTGACATCTCTTGGCGGACTCTATGGATAAAACTGTGTCCATCGCGAATGCGAATTTGTCGTATTTCAGCCTAGGCCTCGTTTGCAGCCTCACCCTGCGCATCCTCTTGCGATATTGGGTCATCGTCCGGTGATCAGAACACTTCCGTCTTCTTTTCCGTGTAGGTGTGCGAGGTGCGGGACGAATAACCTCAAAGAGCTAGGGGTGCGGATGGACCTTCTCTTTCAACCTTGCAAGACAAGCTCTCTCTGATTCGGTCCGCATTCGGGGAACACCTCTGTCGGGGAAGACACTTCAACTTTGATAGTTCAGGCGGTGGAGTTGGAGCATCTGGCCCGCGCTCGTTGACATCACTTGAACGAAATCAACTTTTTTCTTGTGTCAAGGCCGCAGTCAAACTCATGGGTGTTCCCCTCAGACAATGTCTTCACGCGATGGGCCTAACCTCAAAGCATACACGCCACCAAAGCAAGCCACCGGCTCGTCAAAACATAAGCGCTGATCCCAGTTCCCAACTTAGTTTCCATGTCTGAGACCTCTCCCATTTTCGGCTGACAAGCCCGAAATGCATGCCAGCCACGCTTCTCTAGCTCGTGCGTGCGCCCTTTCCCCCTCACGGATCCCACCTGAATGGGTGGGAAGACGGAGAGCAGGGGCCAATGTTTTGAGGTTACGAAGCTTAAGCAATACGGGAGTCAAAACTTATGCAGCCAATGGCCCAATGCCACTCCTGTTTTATCGAACAAGGCAGGTCACTCCAGATGATCTGCACGCCCGTTCGAGTACTCGAGGAGCATGGGCCATGCTGCCCAGGCGGACGAGTTGTCCATGCCTCCAGGCCCGTGATATCCTTGCGATATGAGGTTTTACAGCGAAGCTTAACAGCTTCGTCTGCGTGGTCGTGACTCCTGTTTCCCGCCCATCCCTGGCAACGGACAGGGAACAATCCCTTCGGCTTTATCCTCACGAAACGGAATTTAGTTCCCTTCCCACACCACTGCAGCCTCTCCAGAGGCTCTTCAGCTCGTCAGCTTGGTTTCGTGTTACCAGCCAACAGCGAAGCCTCTTGGCTCCTTTGGGCCTTGGAACGGGGCGTCAACAGGGTGTCTTGGCCAAGATGGTGTAGCGCCTCCGCCCCTTGCATTCCTCTTAGCACCTTAGGGCTGGATGATGCCGGGGTACCGCTTTGACTCTAACGACACTCTAAATCGCTCGCTAGCTTGTCCTTCATGCTTGGGTCTGATATTTTGCCCAAGTCAGTCCGCAGTATCTCCAGACCTTCTCTTCTCCTCCCACCCAACGGCGACCCGCAACCCGACGTTGGCTCGCGCATGAGAGCCACGGCCAGACATCAACACCGCCCCACCGACGACTGTCCACAGACGATGTGAATGGGAAGAATCGACGTCGTGAGCGAAGAATCTAGTCTTTGACGGCTTGGTACTCAATGATTACAAGGCATTTTGGCGACGGCCAAGGCTCGGTCGCGAATCGATATGGATATGGAATCTTTCAACGTCGACGTCATTGAGGATGGCGGCCCGCCCGGTTTGGCGCCCCAGGGGCAGTCTGTCATATCTTGTGCAGTGGCATCGGCTGTTCTTTCGGGGATCATTGTCGGCTTGAGATTCTATGCGCGTCTATCACCGGCGCGACTTTTGGGGTGGGAGGATGCGTGGATTCTGATCGCATGGGTACGCTGAAATCTACACCAAAGACACCAAGGATCGATGACAATCCGCTCGAGCTTTGAGGGAAGCGGTGTTCACTGAAAAGGAATCACAAGACTGACTGCGATATGGAATAGATTTGGTCCGCCTGTCAATCCGCTGGGATGGCTATTCGTAAGAAGCCTGAGCATCCTGTTCCTCTGTCGTTGCTAATTATCTGACAGAAGCAATCACTGGTATGGGCGAGCGGTACGAGACACTGAGTGTGCACCAACAGCAGACTTTCTTCAAGGTAAGGAGAAATTACTGGTCCAGTCCCATGAGTCGTTGAAGTCGAGTCAAGCTGACAGTCATGAGTAGTGGTCGTACATCACTATCATCTTCTACAACCTCGGATTGGCCTTCGTCAAGGTCTCTATACTGCTGCTGTACCTGCGGGTACTACGAGACCTCAATTATCGCAAAGCGTGCTACATTGCACTATCTCTTGTCGCGGTAGTCTCCACATGGACGGTTTTCTCATCGGTCTTGTTTTGTCTACCCTTTGAGAAGAATTGGAAACCAAGGTCTGTTGAGTTCTGTTCACCTGAAATGCGGTTGTTGTAGTGCTGACCATGACTACAGTGCACCTGGGAAATGTCTTGACAGGGGAGCCACCTGGTTCGCCAACGCCGCCATCAATATTTTCACCGATTTTGTGATCCTCATCCTCCCCTTGCCGATTCTTCCAAAGATAAAACAGCCCCGCCAGCAAAAGATCAGTTTGTACCTGATCTTTGCACTCGGGTTCTTGTAAGTACCGGTAATTTTGTCATGATAACCGAGCGTGTGATCTAACCTGCCATACCAGTGTTTGTGTAGTGTCAATATTGCGCATTCCGTCACTAGCTTCGGCCTTCAAATCGACCGACCCGACGTTCGACAGTCCAGGCATAGCTGAATGGTCAATTATTGAGTTGAACACGGCCATCGTCTGCGCTTGCCTAATCACATTAAAACCCCTGGCAAGACGCTTCTTCCCTCGACTTCTGGGATCTACAAATCACGATGTTGGGAGAGAACGTGGGCCGGGCTCGGGGCCAGGAGACGGTGTTCCCGCCACAGTCGGGTCCAAGGAATCGGGACACAAAGCGAATCACGCAAGGCACGTCTCGGACGGGAGTGAAATACAGCTGAATCACGACACATTTGGGGCGAGATCTACGAATCACACTCATGGCTCGCGTCATAGCATTGTGGAGTCGTCGGATTTGGAGTTGGGACTGAAGTCGATACCACTGGACGACGATCCGGCGTCGATGAAATGATACCAGATTTGATACCACTTAGCGTAATGAGAAAATCAGTTTCAATGTTTCGTTTCAGTCTCACGGAACTTTCATTGAGTCCGTCAACCCTTTTGAAAGTGCTTTGATTTCGAACTCTGTCGAAGCTTGTTGTCAATGAGACCGAGTACGTCGGTACAGACTTTCCGCTTTGGGTAATCAATCATCGAACGAGGCGATTTTCGCCTGAAGCATCAACGGTCACCAGAGTACGAACTTGCAGTTACATTATGACGTTTCGTTAGCCTTAAGCAGATTGACCGAGGAGCTATCCGCCCATCTGCCCCTGTCACGATCCCTGGGCCCCGATGCCGAAGAGTTCGTATTCCTCCTATCGCCCACGCTAGTCCCGTGTTTGCCATTAAACGGCCCCTGTTCCCCCATATTACTTCCCTTCAAACAGCCTCTCAAGGCGCAAGTTCGTCCGGCAATGCAACGCTAGTGGATCTTCCCGTGTTAAAAACAACGAACCATCACAAATTGCATGATGCGCGCTGGACCTCATTGGGCAGGTGTCAAAAACAACATGCCGTGCTTCTTGGCGACGAGATGGCATACTTCAACGGCGACTTTCGCGCTCTCGCGATGGCGGAAAGTTTGGCTCGCCATGTGCCTTGCACACGCTCACATTCGTTTTCGTTTACTACGCATCGACAATCATGCGCGCGGAAGCAGCCCTCCTCGCGGCGCTATTCAGCACGGCTCAGGCGCTGCATCAATTCGCGCCTCGTTCACTCAACGAGAGCGCTGCTAGCGATGCGACGCCCAAGAGATACATCGTCGAGCTGAAGTCACGCGCACACGGATCGCGCGTGGCTTCCAAGGCTTCGTCTGGGCTGCCCGGGCTTCGAGTCGTGAAGCAGTTTGACTCAGACATCTTCCCCGGAATCGCCGTCGAATGCGACCATGGCTGCACGGCCGAGTCTATCCAGAGCTCGCTTGATGGGTCCGATGACGAGCCTGTTGTCGCTTCTGTCTACAAGTCTCAGATGTTGCAGCTGCTCCCGACCGTGGAAGGCGAGTCATTCAGCGACGATGCGGCTGCGGTGAACTACTCGGTCCACGGCCTCACTGGCGTTCAGAACCTACATGAGGACGGAATCCTGGGCGAAGGCGCCGTTGTCGCAATCGTTGACAGCGGTGTCCAGTACACCCACCCGGCAGTGAGTAGTTGACTTGCCGCCGTTCCCGACATGATTTGAGCTGATTTATAATCTGTACGCCAGCTCGGAGGAGGCCTCGGTGATAACTACACGGTGATCGGTGGTTACGATCTTGTCGGTGATGGTACGTGATAACCCCTCGGAGCCGGTGGGTTTGTGTGAAAGGCGCTGATTTAGAGTTGGCAGCGTGGCCTGACGCGCCCGCACAGCCCGACAACGATCCCATGGACAGATACGGACACGGCACGCACGTGGCCGGCATCATCGCGGGACAAAGTGATCAGTTGAGTCTTCGCCTAGAGTTATGCTAAAATTTAAACTAACTTGCCAAGATTCGTCGGGGTTGCACCCAAGTCCAAGCTTCTCTCATTCAAAGTCTTTGGTAGCAGCGGCTACTCGAATGAGGAGACTGTCATTGAAGGCTTCTTGAAGGCTTTCGACTCAGGGGTGAGTTGAATATTATAGTAAATGTGCCAGTTGCATCGTAGCTAACAGCCCTTCCAGGCAGACATCATCAGCGCTAGCGTTGGCGAAGGCAGCGGCTTCACCAACAATGCCCTCGCTGTGGTGGCATCCAGGATCGTCGATAATGGCGTCGTCGTCGTTTTCGCTGCCGGCAACTCAGGACAGGATGGTCCCTTCTCTATGGCCAACGGCGCCTCAGGGAAGCATGTCTTGACAGTTGCCTCGAGCGATCCTGGTGTTTTCCCCGCGCAGGCCTTTTCCGCCAACTTCAACCTCGATGGAAACTCCAATAATACCGAAGTCGCTTACGTCCCGGGCTCAGGGTTCTTCCCGGATACCATCGTCGATTGGCCGATCAAGCCGATCACCTTGAACGCTTCCGTTGAGAACGATGCCTGCCAGCCTTTGCCCGCGGATACCCCTCAGTTGAACGAAACTGTAGTTCTGGTGAGACTTGGCGGTTGCACCGTGTCGACCAAGCATACCAATGTGGCTGCCTTTGGCGCGCAGTACATTCTCTTCTACAACAACCTGGACATCTACCAGAGCCCTGTCAGTTCGAACCGCGTTGGTCTCACTGGGGCCATCGAGGGTAGCGCCGGCGAGGCTATCGTTTCCACCATCCTAGCCGGCGGCAACGTGACAGCTTCTTTCAATATTGACACAGCTCACTATGTCGGTATCCGGAACGCTGGCGGTGGACGGCCCGCTCTGTACTCCTCCTGGGGTAGTACCTATGATCTTGCTCTCAAACCCGATGTGTCCGGCCCGGGCACCAAGATTCTCAGTACCTATCCGACAAATGAGTATCGTGTTCTCAGTGGCACAAGCATGGCAACTCCTTACTTATCCGGCATTGCTGCTTTGTGGGTTGGCAAGTTTGGCGGAAGGTCGGCGCATAAAGATGACCCTGAATGGGCGAAGCGCCTCATCGCTCGCATCACGACCACTGCCCGCGCCGTCCCCTGGGCGGACTGGGCTACCAGCGTCACTGACTATGGTTTCTGGGCCCCAACTACTCAAGTGGGAGGCGGCCTTGTTGACGCCGAGAGAGTTTTGGGCTACACAACTGAGCTTAGCTTTGACGGCCGCAAGTTTGAGTTGAATGACACAGTCCACTTCACCGGCACGCACTCTGTTGATATCACGAACCAGGGCTCGGAATCAGTCACCTACAAGTTTTCACTTCAGGACGCGGGTGGCTACGAGTCTTACGAGCCTTCAGTACCTGGTCAGCAACAGACTTTTATTCCAGCGATTCCGCTCTATCCGGAGATCAACCCCGTCAAAATGACGCCTGATGTTGCCTTGCCTGCGGAGGTTGCTGTTGGACCGGGAGAGACAAAGACTGTGGAGTGAGTTTCCGCGATGTGAATTGTTTCTTACAAATGACTTATACGGCGGACAGGTTTACTTTCAAGGTACCCGAAGGTGTCAATGCTACCAAGCTTCCAGTTTACAGCGGAAAGGTGCTCGTAAGTGGAAGCAATGGCGAGGAACTTGGTGTCCCGTATTTTGGTAATCATCCCCGAATCTCGTGGAAGGCGTTTGACTGACGACTCGACAGGTGTCGCCACCGACTTGAGACAGACCATCGAAAATGTCTGGGCCTACGGTTGGAGCCTTCCAAACTTGGTTTCAGGAGTCAACAGCGTCAGGCTTGAGCAAAAGTCCAAGTAAGACAAGTCATAATATTGACTTTCAAAGTAAATCTGACAATCCACAGCTTCACATTCAACCTTACACGGGAGCAACAGGACTTCCCAAAGCTCACCACGCGCCTCATCTGGGGTACCGAGGAATTACGTTGGGACGTGCGTCATCCAAGAGTCCTGAAACTTCACGAAATGCCGCAAACTGACTGTCGTCATACAGATTTTCCACGGCAACTACTCCGAAGCCGAATGGTCCTATCCTCCCGTTGTTGGTGAGAAGGGCTTCGTAGGCTCAGCCACCAGCTGGAACGGCACCGCAAGCTCTTCTTGGTTCATCCCCGGCGAGGACAGCGAAGATGACATCTTCACGTTCCCCCTCTATACTCAACCAGGAGGCCGAAATGGTATTTATTACTGGCTGGGAAGATACGCCAATGGGTCCCAAGTGCTGCCTGGATCATACACGTGAGTTCCGCTGATTACCTACCATCAGGATATGAGAGGCTGACCGTATAAGTTTCCGGATCGCAGCTCTGCGACCCTTTGGTGTACGCGAGGTCGCTGAGGACTGGGACATTTGGAAGACCCCCGCCATCACTGTGTTGCCAGGAAGCACATTTGAGGTCTAGTCGGGCTATGCATTCAAAGTGTATTTCATTGTGTGGACTCGAACTGACGGAGGATTACCATTCTCATAATCATCAACCTGTGTGCTACTTTGTCGAGTAGACACTAAGCGCAGATTAGAAAACATATGGCTAATTGTCACACTACCGCCATAAGCGAACATGAAGTATTGACGAGGTGTAACCGAAGGTGAATCATGTCCATCAATGTCGTACGATCTGGGTACTCTACCCGTATTTCTCCCCAAAGATGGGCTATCGTGTTGCCTCAGTCAGGCAGCATGGGTATGCGACAAGCTGAATACACCTCATTGATCCACGCTTTTCACGGTGAACTTGTGCATTTTTGTCAAACACAACTTACTTGCAGATAAGAACATGGCTACTTACAACTGATGCGCCAGTAGGCATTTCCAAAAAAGATATTTGCCCTTCCCATCGTTGACAGTGCTATGTGCAGTCACACAGTTCTCCGTTCGTCCATGACATCCTGACCTGGGCTCCAATCGACAAGACACGACGTCTCGGCGAGCTCTCTCGGGTTCATCGCCGCGCAAAACGCTTAATCATTCGATTGTCAGAATTGGACCCGCCGCTATGACACCCTGACGCCCTGTCGAGAGCGAATAGAGTGCTTACTTCGGGGAAGGGAACGGGAATCATCCGTGAGACGACAAGTGACCAGAGAGAACAAGGTGAGCCCGAGTCAGCTCGATGCAGGGAAGCGCAGGGGTTAGGTCTTCGAAGGGACACCACGATCCCAGTCCGTGCTGGACTGTCAAAATGGGTCCCGGACGGAGGGGTGGATCACGGATCGACGAGGGAACCCGTTTCAAAATGCGCGGCTCTACGGCATTTGGACCGTTGCAGAGGATGATTTTCTTGGGTTGCCGAAATTAGCTGCAGGTGCGCAATCCTTCAGCGTCAATCTTGCCAATTGTGCCTGTGCTCAGGGAAGCTTGATGTTGTTTATCGGACCATGATAGACGAGATCTTTCCAGATCGGTGCGGGCTGGCTCACGGTTCACGGTGACGGATCCTCTGGATGGTGGGTAGTAATTAGCTTGTACATTCAATCGTTTCCTAAATTACATGTGTCTTTGAATAGGTATACAGAACATTCCGAAGCGCCCGCACTTTTCCCTCCGATAGCCATCCTGGGTATTCGCATCCTTTTAGTCCCTGCCTACTGATAAACATCTCATAATGTTGTTGCCTCCAACCGCCTGACCCATCCTAGTGGAAATCCTGCCGTGAAGACCTGTGAGGCATGTGATACATGTGCGGCTCAGGGGTCGCCCTTGAGATTTTGTACTCCGTAGTAACCACGATCTTGTTCTGCTCGTGCTTCCTCGACCTCATAGCGTTGTTTCCGCTATCCGCCGCCACCTCGGCGTCGGTATGAGGCAGATAGGGGCTGGATGGCTGCTTGCCCGAGTCGATCGAGGCTTCCTCGCCTCCCGAGCTAGCGCCCTTCTCGGCCGAGTTTGCAACAATATGCTCCTTCGACCCCCACTTTGTCTCGTCCGGGATGGAAAGAGGATGGCTGGACGGCCCTTTCTTTCCAGGGTAGCTGCCCAGTCTGTAGCCCTGGCTGTCACCCATGGCGCCGCTCTTGTTGGTGCTTGCGTTGCGACTCTTGTCGATGACGCTCTTGAAGAGGGGATACACCATCGGCATGTTGGTCAACACGACGGACACGAAAGACTCTCTGACGGACCAGTAGCCCGACTGCGCACTGTCTGTTTCGCCGGCGGTGAGGATGGAGACGCAGCGTAGGATGCCGAAGGCCATTTCGAGGAAACCACCGCTGAACATGATCAACAAGGTGACCTTCTTCCTCCACGGCAGGTGGGACTTCCAGACCATAGGAAGAGGGATCGCCATGAGGTAAAAATCGGTAGCCGTGTTCATAGCCATAACGAAGATTGTTTGGATAAAAGAGATAGCTGGAAGGCACTGGTCTGTTGACGGTTAGTCAACGCAGGTTGTCGCATGAGTTGTTCAACTTACTGCCAGGATTGGGATTGATCTGCCATTGATGATCGAAGGGGATGCACTTGAAGAAAGCGACAAGCAGACAGGAAACATAGGTAACAGGCATGATGATATAGGCCCAGAAGATGATGCGCTTCATCTTGTGCACGCCGTCACTAAAGTTGAGATTAGCTTGGAGTTGCAAAGTGTTCGGCCGGCGGTGCTCACGTCAGACGGGAGTAGTAGATAACCCAGCATCCTTTCAACAGCCACAGCAGAGTTGTGTATAGCAACAGTCCAATGACGTGTGTCTTTGAGCCGTTTACTCGTAACATGTACTCTTCCGACGTTGGACTTAGCGCGGCTCGTTCTTCATCTGTCATGCCATTGTTGGCAACTCCTTTCCAATATGCAACAACAAAATATGCTGCAACGGACTCGGCGGTATACACTAACTGCAAGCACAACAATCAGTCATGCGATAAGTTAGAAGGATCAGGTGTCAACTTACAACTGCCACTCCCATCAGGAAGTCATCCCACGCAAACTTCCTCCATCCCAGAGTCGAGAGCCGGCTGTAGTACCGAAGCCCAACAACAAGGTACGCGGCACCTTGCAGGCCCCAGACCTCTCGGATGAACGCGTTCGCAGCTTCTGCAGACATGTTTGCTGTTCCCTTGCCAGCTTCGGCCCGCGCACCAGCAACGTATCGGATGAGGGGGAAGGGGGTGATGGACAAACAAGATGTTGGGAAAGTTGGGTCCCCGCGGCTAAACCGAAAGAACGTTGAGATAGATCGGGGGCGGACGACAAAATAGTAAATAATAAGCACCGTCAACAAGAGAAGAGGAGGTAAAAAAGCTCTGAAGCGAAGAGGACGTAACCAGGTTTCGTTGCGACAAGGCGCCTGAATCGTTCATTCGTCACTGTTTCCATCCCTTTACCAGCCTTGTGCTTGTCCCTGAACCCGGTTCTCCTGGTTCAGTGTTCCCAAAACGTTCACGACGTTAAGGGCCGTGAGGTGCCGATCGCAAATGAAGCTGCAGGGTATTACGAGAAGATGCGAGCCCGTTACGCTCGACTCAAAGGGCTTGGGATCAAGGGCCCAGGAGCGGCACTTCCGTCTGCGGTTTCCAAGGGCAAGGGGGGTCCTCAACTCCGCTTTCGATAGCAACGGTAGGAATCAGACCCATCGACAAGTCCACACTAATACTACACCATGAGGACCAAACCGTCCGATTGAAGGTTTACCTCGGGGAACCGGAGGACGGGGCCCTCTGAGGAGTCGAGTTGGGGTGTGATCTTCTCCCCAGTACTAGCACTGGTACTAGAGAAAAATGCAGGTAAGGGCGATAAGGAGCGCGCAGTGGGGCGTAGTACCTCTTTTACTTTATAAATTTCCCCGATTTAGAAGTAGCGTCTCTACCTATAAGTTATGCAAAATTTACTCCACATCGACGAAGTACTTTCGCGCTCTAGTACTAGTACTAGACATTTCCGCCTAAAACCCTGTTTTTCCTATATAAATTTCCTAGTACGCGGAGAGGGTTAGAAGTCACCCTCTCTGCGTACTAGACTCTAGTACTAGGGCGGTTAGCTGCGGCAGAACTTTTATGCCCCCCTAAAGTCACTTTTCTCTAGTACCAGTGCTAGTACTGGGGAGAAGATCACACCCTTGATCTGGGCTGAAGAAAAAGCATTGCAAAGATCTGGACTCTCTCTGGAAACGAAAGGTGCGACTTGTGGCGCAACGCCACCGTGATATAACAGCATCGACAAATTGCGATTGGGTGTTGAGTAATCTGCTAGCTCCTGTCAGAGTGCATGTTTAGGACCGAGCCGTTGGGGGGGAGGCACCTGCAGCATGTCATCGAGCTACACATTACTGATACCTTCAACCCCGGTGGCTGGACCGGCAACCTCTACCACACCCAATGCGGCTCCCCTGGCTTCTTTTCCCCTGCTGCTTTGCATGAAACGACATGTTATCACGACATGAATGATGAGCCGCCGAAACGCGTCGAGCGCTTGGCCTTCCCTCGGGCTGCGGCCAGAGAAGACTGGGTCGGCGTCGCTTCTGTCATTTCTCTGATGCAGCAGCCCAATGGAACCGTAGGAATGTCGACCTTGGCAGTACCGGTACCGCTGCACAGGATTCCTCGCCAAAAAAACAAAACACGACCCCGGCCACCGGGACATTTGAGTGCAGCATATCAATCCATCGCGGTGTATGTAGCATCAAGGTTACGGTTCCTTCAGATGTACTAGATCATCGCATCATAATAATGTCGAGAGAAACATATGTGAACAGTCTAGAGACGTCTACACCTGTCCCAGCATCTGAAAGGTTAGCGTACTACTTGCGGGGCTTGGCTATATGGGAAGCCCCGCAAGAACCGCACTAACCTTTCAGATGCTTGGACAGGTGTACGACCTTCATTGCGCGTTCGGATATTTTCCCCTTCGCAAAAACATCTCCGGTCGGATTTTACATGTGACTCGAGTCAGGTTCAGTTCCAATAACGAAAATGAATCGCTGAGGTGCTCCAACAGGTAGTATCTTGGTGGAACCGCCAGGCAAAACCCCCAAGGCGCGCAGGAGGGCGCAGGACCTGCTGCAGATGATTTCTGCCCGGGGGCTCGTCCGTCCTCCACAGTGGAAAATGTCTGCCCAGGGGGGGATGGTGCAAGGGCCCGCGGGTTACTCCAGTTATTGAGGAGACAACAACAGCTCTGCCGGCGAATGAGACTCTGGGACGGCATATACTTGCGCAATTAGGTCTCTATCGCAATGGGGCGCCGTTGCAGCATTGATCCATCGTCCCTTGCGAGCGGAGGAGGAGGAGAAGGGAAGCTGCGGGCATCGAGGTCGAAAGTCTCCAGTTCATAAGCTTGTCGTTCCTAGTGCCACGTCAACTGGCCATTCTGCAATCTGTACCGTTGCAACCGCCTTGTCGAGCGTAACTGCCGCCGGTGGGATCCTCAGAAGAATCGCACCGTTGTCCACAAATTACGGTTCGCAATGG